TTTCCCTTTTGTTTCGCTCTTCTCGCCCCCCTGCTCCTTTTCTTTGTCTGCTAATGCGCAGCAGATGGGAGGAAATGCCATTTTAAATGCCACAGCATCCTGATGAAATGTGATGGGTTATGGCAATCTGGATGAATCACGGCATTGTTTTGTGTACACGGCCCTGCTGCGGCTCACCCTCGCTCGCGCAGTTTCTCCCTCCGGTTTTACAAATAGAGTTAAGGTCGTTTCGGCGCCCGTGCCAGCTGGTCCACAGGTCCCCTCCAGGGTGTTCAAGTCCCATTAATGAACCAGGCACGTTTGCGGAGTCAGAACTGAGCTCACAGTTGCTTTACTGGTGGCAAACCCAGCAACTAGCTTGGAAACATCCGCTCCATCCCGCCTTTGGGTACGCGGGGGTTATGAATCGCACTAAATCCCCACGTTACAATTACAGGATTTCCTCCTAAGGTGCAGGAGCTCTGTCCCCACGAGGAGCGGGAGCAGGAGGAACAAGCCCTGCACAGCACAGCCCTCCCGGCCGTCTCCAGCCTGGATCTGGGCCGCTTTGGAACACCGGGCTCCTTCCCCAGGTCTGTTTGTGCCTCAGCCTCGCTGCCGGTTTCTGTGATGTGGCCACCTGCCCCTGGGGGTTTCCTTGGCACGATCGGATCATTTCACGTAAGCTATCAGGCAAGCATCAAATAATATTGACTCAGGCGCTAGCAGCCTGTTGCCAGATGAGAAACAGCAGCTCAGAAGTGGGAAAAAGAAATACACACACAGGCGCGCACACATGCACGTATATGTGTATATATATCCCAACAGCTCCATAACTGAAACCTGGAGTGACCCAGCCCTGTTAGTTTCAATCTAATTGTGGAAAAAAGTCACCTCTGAGCCTGCAGAATATAAAGTAGTCGTTTAATTTGGGTGACTGAAAGAACAGATTAAAAAATTCCAGCTAGCAACATTAAAAGTTGCTCGCAATGTGCTTAATTTTAGTAGCTTAGATTGAAAACATCTCTCTCTGTATGTCTGAATGCCCGTATGTCTAATTGATGACAGTTATTCCGCTCTGGCACTGAAAAGCGAGCAGCGTTAAGCCATTTCATTTCTGATTATTATCAGATCTAGTGTCTGTTGATGCCCTGCCCTAGCGAGTGGAAGGGTTGTAATTATTAATTAACCCCCAGCCCCCCCTGCTTTCCCCCCAGCTCTTGCTCAGGGCTGGTTTGTGAGTGTATCCTCGTTAACAGGCCTGGCAGCTCCGCGGCGCAGCTCGGCCAACAGCAATAGTCACAACAGCCCTGCTGTGTTTATTCAGATTTTAGCAGCTCTACCTGCACGAAGAGGCCAAGGGGGCTGTGTTTGCGTTTGCGAAGCCGGAGGTTTGGGGTGTTATTTTTCCCCCGTCGGGCATCCCTTGCTGATTTAAGTCATGTCAGAAGTTGTGTGGCAGGAAGAGGAGGGAGCGGGAGCAGGCAGAGGGTGGAGAGGGGAGAAGGGGGCTCTGTGTCCAGGCAGGCGCCGGCTCCGTCTGGGCTCTCCCTGCGGTGCCGCTCGCTCCGGGTTGTGCCGTGGGTTTGCGTGCGGGCTCGTGAACCTCCCATAGCTGCATCCCCGATGGATGGTTCCTTCCCACACAAACCGGGAGCGTTTGCACCCCGCTCCTGGGGCTCCCCCCACAGCCCTTGTCTTGATTTGAAGTCCCCCCATGAATTGGATCTAGGGAAGTGGAGGTCAGAGCAGGGGGTGCAGTTCAGTGCAGAACTGCTTGGTGGATTGGTGTCCCCTGGGGACACCCACAGCCCGTGCCCCACAGCACTGCCCCCATGTAACTACCTATCCATCCCGGACACGGGTCCTGCTGCGGGTGGGTGTCTGGGCAAATTCAGGCAAAAAATAAAGAAGAGGTGAGATTTCGGCCCTCTGTTTCTGAGCGTTTCTGCTCTGTACGTTAGCGCGCCTTCGTCGTCCCCCTCGTGCCTGGCCGTGGCTGTCAGGACGGCGAGGGAGCCGTTAATGGGCCCCTGATGTGTGTTTATTTCGTTTAGCACATCCGGAGCGCTGTGGTGAGAGCTCGAGAGCTGTTTGTTATGGTGATTGCTTTCCCTGCTTATTACGATGGAAAAAGCCACAGTGCTTAAGGGAGGGCAAGCAGAGAGATGCCAGATGCGTTAGCGCTGCGAACAGTCACGGAGGGCCCCGTTTTATGAGATGTTTTGCCTTGGCTCCAAGAGGAGGAAGGCTGGGCTGCAGGGGCTGTGGAGAGCACGGCTTCCCCATGGCCTGCGCCCCTCGGCCAAGCAGCCGTGGGCTGAATTCTTGCAGCGAATGTCTCCTAATTCAGTCTGAAGGCAGTGGAGACATTTGTGAGTGCAACGGGCATGAGCTTTGCCTCGTACCAAGGTGTTGCCAACCCTCCCTGGCACCCGGGGCGCGAGCAGACGAGGTTGGGGCGATGGGGTTTCGCTGTGAGTCGCTTCAACACGTGCACATCCCTCCTGTCCCTTGCAGCGGCAGCGCTCCGTGCCCGATGCTCCTTGCGGAAGCCGGCGCAAGCCCAGCGGTCAGCGGTGTCTCCATCCCGCTCATCCCAGCACAAGGAGGCCGTTTTCCAAAGGGTGACCCGGTGAACCGCCCTGGTCGCGTCGTCTGCCCGCCGTGACTGCTGCCCCTCGGAGCGGGCAGGACACAGATCTGCTCCCGATGCCCAAATCTTTGTGTCCTGGGCTTCCCGGGCAGGCCGCGGAGCTCCCCGCGTCTGCTGGGGTGGGACACGGCCTCTCGCTGGCCCCAGCCACGTTCTCCGGATTGATGCAACTCGTGACGTTGCAGAAAAGCTCCCGTTTCCCACAGGAACACGCACGTACCTGTCTGCTCAGCCTGGCAGCCAGACCTGGCATTTCAGGGCCTCCTGCTCCCTCCTCACGACGGCCCAGACGGATTCGCTCTTGCACCGTTCCCTGGTCCTGACCACAGGCTTGTGACCCACCACAGGGCTCCGAGGTGCCTTGGTCCCTGCTGTAGCAGGGATCCTGCTGCTTTTTTTGCTGTTGCAGGCAGCAAAAGAAAACCTGGCCGTGTGGACAGACCGTCCGTGGGCAGGGGAGGCTGCCATGAAGAAGAGTGGGCTCCTGGAGCCGTGTAAGTCCCTATCTGCAAGGGGATAGCACAGGGAGATAAGCCTGCTTAGCCACATGTGCCAATAATAGAAGGGAATTGCAAACAGATTCTTGCCTTATCTTGCTTGAGGATACTGCAGTAAAGGGATTTATTTTGGCTTTTCTGCCAAAAAATGTACACAGAGATTCCACCAGAGCTCATATATGTGTTTCTCTTGGAAACAGGCAGAACTCTGCTATCCAAAAAGCCCTGCATTGTTATTAATCTCTGGGGTTTTGTCCAAGTTTCATTAAAAATCTGGACATACTTGAAATGGCTTTCAGATAAAGCTGAATGAATCTCCCTCTGTCTTAGAGGCTGGTGTGGCTTGATTTCCGTGCTGAGAATCGGGTGGGTTGGGAATCGGGTGGGAGATTTCCTGCCACCTAAACTGCAAGAGAGGGAGCATCTTAAAACAACCTCGTCTGAATGAATCACAGGCGTTTTTCCTGGCCTGTGACTTGCCGTGGGTGGAGCAGCTTGCACGGGGCAAACGGGTGGCATCTCTCCCCGGGAACGAGCTGCTTTGGTCTATGTTAAATCAGATGGGCAAGAAATTGTTATCGACAGAATTGATAGCGTTGTGTGTATAGGTTGTTTCGAGAGCTAGGGATTCTCCAAAGTGTGAAAAACCTCCCTGAATCCCCTCGGAGCGAAAGGCCAAAGCAGCAACGCAGGGGCAAGCAGCAGCTCAATGTGCTCCTACCTTCCCAGGGATGTGGCCGGCTCCTGGCCACAAGAAGCCCGTGAGTCCTCGTAGCCACAAGAGGGTGACAAAGCCCCATCCTGCGCTGTGGTGGCCCTGGACAAACCCGGAGATGTCCCCAGCTAGCTCAGGACAGCAGCCCACCTTGGAGCCTTGGAGGCCTTGGAGCCTCTTGGAAAATCCTTGCTGTGGAGACTTGAGCAAGTGCTGGAAACGGGATCCTCGTGGTGAAAACTTCAGGACGTTTTTCCACCTGGCTTTAGTTAGCCTCGGTGCTGGCATCAGCAAAATCTTCCTGTTGCCAAAAGAGGGGAGAACTCCCAAGATTTCCCAAGCAGGGAAAGAAAACCTCACCCTTGCTCCCCCTTGGTAGTCTAATGGGAAAGCCACATTTTAGAGTAATTCTGGAAAAACAGAGAGCAGCTACTTAGTAACTGTCCCTTGTGCTAACACAGAGTTGTGTGGGTCAGCCCAGCGCCCTGCTCCAAAAAATGCTGGGGCTTGGGGAGATGGGTTTGGTGGAAGAGCCACCCAAGCTCCGGCAGGGCCTGGATGGGGACACCTCAGTCCCCACCTCAGTGGGGACCTCAGTCACCTTCAGAGGACCTCAGGCGTCCTCTGAAGGCTGGTTCAGGAGGACATGGCTCCCTGCCACCTCCTCAGGTCACCATTGGGATATGGGATGGAGAGGGAGTGGGAGGCTGGCAGGAGGGCCTGTTTGCCGATGAGGAGCAGCGCGGAGTCCGTGGAGAGGGGGAAAGAGGAGCTTAGGGAGAAGGCAGGGAACACAAGTGGAGGAGGGGGCAGCAGGATGGAAAGGGAGCCGTGGCCTGCGTGAGAAGAGGCCCGGGACCACGGGGAGCACGAGAGGGAGTTGTCCGAGCACAACCGGCCGCTTCCCGTGCGCGCGTCGCCCGCACACCTGGACACGCGCGGGGACTCGGTGCTTCTTGCAAAACGATCCTTGCGATGCTGCTTCCACGGGCACGAGGGGCGTTTCTCCACAACCGCCCGAGGAGCTGTCCGAGCGAGGAGCTGGGAGTGCTCTGGGAGGCTTCCAAGGCTGGGATTCATCCCCGCGCTGTCCCCGGAGGCCGGGAGCGGGTGTGGGCTTGACGGCATCTCCGGTGATGAGCTCCAGCCGCTCCCCTTCATCTGTGGCGGGGGAGGGGAAAACCGGGAACGCGGGCCCGCTCTTTATTAATTTAGTATTGGAAACAGAATGTCTGGTGCCAGCAGTATAGATGGGATTTTCCAAAAAGGTAACAGGATGGGCAGTTTTCATAGAATCGTAGAATCCTTAAGGTTGGAAGGGAGCTCTAGGGATCATCTAGTCCAACCCCTGCACACGCAGGGTCACCTAGAGCACGTGGCACAGGACTGCGTCCAAGCGGGTTTGGAAGATCTCATTGAAGATCTCATGAAGATTTTAGCCATCCTTCTCTTGTGACAGCGTGTGCGCGTACCGCTGCACGTACTGCTACGGTATATTGGGATTTATATTTGCAAATCCCCTCGCTCCCATCTGTTTCCTTAGGCTGTTATTTATAGAAGGAGGAGGGGAAGAAACACTTGAG